CTGCTGCAGGAAAACAGGGAAGCCCGGGGCACGCTGGCAGCTTTCCGGGGCCGGGGGGTGTCGGGCAGACCTGGAAAAGCGAAACTCTCCGTGCAAGGGGTGCAGCGTGCCCTGAATTGGTTGCTAGCGACCGCAGCTGTGGCACTAAGGGCTCGCGAGCAAAAAGCAAGCGAAACGCTTGTAAGCGAGTGCTAAGGGGCTGAAGGAATGGCAAGCGCGAATTGCACAGGCCCGAGGGAAGCGCTCCAGCGCTGTTTGCACAGCGCCGAGCGTAAAGGGGATGCGGTGTGCGTGCAATCGCTCCTGCTGCAGGCGCAGGACAAACACACAGCAGAAAATGTCTTCTCGTTTTTTTTCGTCTTGCACGATTGTCCCTTGAACCTCCCCATCACGGGCTGTGCCACTCGGTCAGCCTTTCGGAAGATGTCCTTGCAGGGAATTAATCATTGACTTGCCAGCCAGCAAAGGACAGGATTTAAAAAAAAAAAAAAAAAAAACCATTGTGCATGGTGGCTCTGCAAACAGCAGCGCAACAGGGACCTGGGTCTGTCTTCTGCAGGGTTTGGGGAGCTGCGTGGCCCCACGGATGGGCAGAACAAGACGAGGCAGCTCGCTGGCTGCTCAGTGTGCAGCACAGACAGCAATCGCTTGCAGGATGAGCTCAAGACCTTCTTTAATTGACATAAAGATGCTTCAGGACTCCAAGGGGGTATCTCTGCCTGTTACTAGTTAACTAGCTGTCTTGACGGCTGCAGCAAATCCTGATTTTGCTGAGTTGTTTGGGAAAAAAAAACCACCCCAAAGCACAGTTGTGTGGTTGGCAGAGCTGGAGGCCCGGCTACGGATCGGTGTGTCCCCAGCGAACTCCGGGCAGGTTCTCTGGTGCCTTGTGAAGGCTGTTTGCACGGATGCATCTCCCTCTGGAGGAACTTCTGACTTTGCTCTCCTCTACTTGGCCATTTGTTTTCACGATGCTTGTAGGAACTTGGTATCTTGGATATTCCCAGCTCTGGAAAAAGGGCTCAAACCTGGCCATTTGGTTAAAATTTAAGGGAGGGGAGGAAGGCAGAAGCGATGGGACAGAACAGTCTATGGATAAACACAGCATGACCTTTTGCAAAAGGAGGTTAAAATCCTGCCTCCTGAGATGACGCTTTTAGACTGGGGCTGAACCGAGCATGCTGTGAGACAGGGCTTTTGGAGCTTGATAACTGTATGAAGAAAAAATGTAAGGCTAAACTATGACTAAAATTATAGTACGTGCTATAATTACTGAGCAATCTCAGACTCTTGAATCAAGCCTGCTGGTTGCATGGGACTTTGCCATTACCTGTTGCATTTTGATCTGCTTCTGCACACTGGATGGCTTCAGTCCCTATTTTCTGAACATTTCACCAGCAAATCTGAGTAAACAGAGAAGACAGCAGGTAGCTGAACTTCCCTGTGACGTGTAGTCCCAACTCACTCCAGGTCCAGGGATTCCTGTAGCAAAAGTGAGTTTTATCTCTTTCACTAACATTTTATTCCTGTCTCACATTAGCAATTCTTTTTTTCTTTTTTTTTTTTGATAATTTAATTCTGCTGGGTGGGCAACTTGTTTTCAAATCAGAGCGGCTCTGATGTAACTTCATCTCCTCTTCTTACAACTCGTTAAAAGCCAAGCACTTCCATGCACACCAAGTACTTAGAAGAAGAAGGGCACCGCGTTAAATTCTCTTACATCATCCATGGGGTTTCAGCAGGCCCTAATGCATTTGCCCAAGCAGGCAAGAGGGTTTAAATCAATCCAGACACGTGACCGCTCTACCAGGAAAGCTCTTGTGTGGCAGCTGAGTCACGGTCCCTGAACGTTTGCCCCGTGGACCTGCAGCCATGCAGGACAAAGAACTTCACTCAAATGCCCTTTACCTCCCATCTGTTGATTGCCCCATGACCTGATATGCTCTGGAGGTGCGTGTGGGTGCAAGCAGCCGTTTCACTACAGATTTACAGACATCTCTCTTTCCTGGCTGCTGCCAAGCCTTGCATTACAAAAGGACTGGTCCTTAACCGCCCTTCTAAACACACAACAACCCTCCTTCCCAGAGCTATCTTCAGTGATCATGAATGGAGCAGCTCCACAGACAGCTAGGTACTGATTCACAGCCTTCAAGCATTTCCCTGCTTAGCAACTTCTTTTTGCTACCATGGCAAAAAGCTCCCCCCCCCCAAATATACTTCAAAAAGATGTATTGCAAAAAGGCTAGTGCGCTGACCCTTTCCCAGCCAAAGGGATCGCTGTTGCAAGGAGCAGCGCACGGTGGGTTTCGGAGCTGCCGTCAGGACACGCCGTTTCCCATCCGCTGCTGCCTTTCGTGGAAGTATTTTCTCTGCTCCTGAACGGCTTGTTCCAGCAAAGACAGATTCATCCCTTCCACGCAGGTCAATATTCGGGCCTTTACCACGGGACCCTCTCCTGGAAATATAAACGGGCAGTTTTTGTAGGAAAGAAAACATGCAGCAGCTCCAAGGCAAGCAAAGAGGTGCCCTTTGGCAGCATATGGCCAAATAACCATTGCCTGAGACGCTGCGAGACCGATCCAACCGCGTGCCTGCGCCGACACAAGGAGTGCGCCACGAACAGGTTCGCTCAGTGACATGTTTGCCTGCTGCCTTGCTGGCTCTAAAACGACGGTGACTAACACCACGCTCACCCTGCGCTGGGGGAAGGTGGAGCCAAGGACATCTGGGTGCCAGCGCCCGCCGCACAGCCTCCATCTGCACTGCGTGAACAGCTCCGGCCTGGACTGAGCATGTTTGGGTTCTCCCTGTCTAAAAAGCGTCACCGATTCATCTAAACCCATCTCTGAACACCTTTGTGCAGCCAAGAAGCAGGCAGAGCAAAGCTGGGCTTAGAAGAGGCTCAACACTGCCTTCAACCAACAGCTCAGACCTTCCTGGCGCGTTCAGATGGTGGCACGGAGCAGCACAGAAGGGGCCAAACCTTGGTGATGCAGCCAGTGTCTCAGCCAGTTCCCCTTCCACGCCTGCAAAACAGGGTCAGCTTCCCCCGAGATGACTAAAATAACATGCCTTTCTGAAGGAATTTTGCAACAGTGGCTTAGTAGGTGACTCACCAGATGCTACAAGTGTGGCTTTCCATGTGCCACCGAGGACTTCAATGGCACAAATGCAACTGCTTGTTATCAGGTGCGGCCAAGACCTGCGGCCCAGCTCAAATCAGTTCCCCACGCAAAGCGCTGCGCAACCAAATAACACCTGGAGCATCCCAGCAAAGGATGACACGGTGCCTGGTGTTGACAGCGCCTGTCTGCATTCCTCAAGCCCTGTGCCTGAGCACGGCGGGGTGGGGTGTAATTAGCACCTCTCAAGGACACAAAGACCAACCCGGCCAGGTTGCAATGAGGCATTGCTGCAATCAGAGGTGTTTGGAGCAAAGATGATGTGGTCTAATAGCAGTGAAACCATAAGGTCTTAGCACAGGTTTCACAAGCTCAGCTATGGTGCTGAGCCCTCCTAATTTTTAATGAAATCTGTGCCAGAGCACCAGGTTGTCACCAAGGTAAGTGTAGGGCAGCTCCTCTCATGCCTCCTCATGGTCAGCAGGGAGAGATGGGCTGCTCCTGCCTTGCATCACCCACACGTGTGGCTGCAGCAGCCGCGCGAGAGGAGCCTGCCTTGGCCAAAGCGGAGTTTTGTCACCATGCAGCTGGGAGCCGGGAAGGGTGGATGCCATGTACGCAGCAGCAAAGGACACAGGCTCCTGCTCCAGGGCACAAAAGCAATGTTCTGCATTTTCTAGCACTCAGCACAGGGACTCCAAGCAGCTCATTTGAGTGACAAAGGGCCAGGGTCATGGTACAGATGTGCAAACTGAAGCAGCTAGTAGCAAAACAGTCCCCAGGGTTGCAGAGGTGGCAGACAGTGCTGACTGCCCGCTCTAACCCTGGAGTGCACTGCCTTGGGGGAGACGGTGCCTTATCCCATCTGGCAGTCTGGGTGGGAAGGGAGACCCCGCAGCAGTGATCACTGGTTCAAGCCACCCTTTCTTTTCTCAGGGGGCCAGACAATTCCTGCATTTGGCTAAAAGCAAAAACAGCATTTACCTTCCCTGTGTTCGGCCTCTCCCAGCACCATGTAGAGAGAGCCCAGCTGGGCTTGGAACGGCTCCACAAAGCTGGTGTCGACGCACACCCGGTGCTGGGCTGCACGGTGCTGAGCAGTGAGAATGGCTTCGGAGCGGGCCAGGTCATAGCAGCATAACCTGGGAGCGACGGATTTGGGAAGCTCAGTAGTGCAGGCACAGTGGAGTTACAGCGACTGCAAACAAAGAGGGGAAGGGACAGGCCAGCAAAGGGAAGGCCCGGCCTGCGAGGAGACCGAGTTACTGTTCCCACCTGCCAAACGTCCTCAGTGCCTCCCCCTCTGGGACTGAGCTGCTGATCTCCCACGGGAAGTAATAGATGCCAGCGTTTGGCAACATCTCACACAACCAGCGTTGAGCCTGCAGGAAGGCAAAAGAGCGGAGTTCCCGCCACGCCAGCAACCCGGCCCCGGTACAAGGCTTTATGGCCCCAAAACCCCTTCCTCGCCAAGGGCCCCCACCCAGGGGCTGCAGCAGCACGTGGCTCATCTTCTGCAGGGGCTGAGGAGCTTCAGAGCTTCCCTGCTGAGTCCTCCTCGCAGCTCAGTGCACGTGCCGAGCCTCAGGCATCCTTCCCCGGCACAGAGAACAAATACCTTCCCCAGACCCGACTGCTGGGGTGACAGGGTACCACGCAGCAGGATTTAAGGTCTAATGTTGAATGTGTTCTCATGCTGCGGGATAGGAAATCCTAGCAGTGTCTCATCCTGCAGCTGGAAAACAATTCTTTGGATACAAGCCAGCCTGGTTTTATCAATAGTCTAGTAGGGTTTTGGAAGACAGCGAAGAGTGAGAAATGATTCGCTCGAAGACAAGACTCAGGCGAGACCTCAGGGGACCTCATGGGAGCTGAAGCAGCGGAGCAGGGCTTGGCACAGGTGGGCCAGGCCCAGTGGAAAACACGCAGAAAAGCAGGAACGTGGAGCAGCTTTGGCAAGATTTTAATTCTGCCCATCTGATACAGTATTCAGGCTGGCGACTGTGCCCCAAAGCGGTTTCCTTCTGCCTCCTTTTCCCACCAGTCTCCCTTGCAGGGTGTCTAGGTCCAGTGCGTTTCCATGCTCTAAACCCTGTTTTTCTCTCTGGTTTCTCTGCCCGGCGGGGGCAACCCCAGTCTGCGTGCACCAGCGCTGGGAAATGGGGCAAGCGGAGCCACCCAAAAAGCACCAGGGGACGGCAGCGCTGATCACGCAGCAGGAGGGCCAAAGACAGGCTGCAACCCTGTGGCATTAACGCTTGGTGCCCCTTGGCCACCCGTGCATTGTTTGGGGCGGAGGGGGCGCAGCCCTGCTAAAAGCCCCACCGCCTTCTCATGGGGCACTGCTGTGGGAGGCTACCGAAACCGGCTCACCCCTTTTCTGCATGCAGGAAACTCAAGGACTGGCTCCCCTGTTGCCCCATGCAAGACTTTGCATGCCAGGTTATGAAACGCCCCTGGCATGGTGCCAGCCCGCAGCAACAAGAGGCTGTGCTCTGGCCTCTGTGCACACTGCCACTCACTGTAACACCGTCGCTCACCTGGATTTAGAAAGCGTGTTCAATTCTGCACCTCTGGAGTTGGGTTAAGGATGTTCAGCATCGTTCAAGTTTTGCTCCTGAACCACACTGTGCAACAGGACAGGGATCAGCCAGGAATGCAAGATGTTAAATGCACATTTAACGCACTTGCTAACACACACCCAAGCCCAACTGCAGCATGCTATGTGCATATTTAATGCATGCACAACCCCAAATGCAGCATGTTACATGTGCATTAAATGCATGCCTGGCCTCAAACGCAGCATGATATATGCACTATTATTACAAACTCAGCCCCAGATGCAGCATGTTATATGTGATTTCAATGAGCTACTTAATGCATGCCCAACCCCACATACAGCAACATGCTATATGCACGATTTAACGCCTGACTGAATGCACACCCAGCCCCAGATGCAGTACATTATATGAATGCAGTATTTAACATATGTCCAGCCAATGTTGCAGCACATTGTACGTGCATTTAATGGTCTGTTTAATGCACGCCCAGCCCCAGACGCAGCACACTATATGCATTTAGCGCACCATTTAATGCATGCCCAGCGCATGCTGCAGTATGTTACATGCACATTTAGTGTGCGGTTTGATGCATGCCCAGCCCCAGATGCAGCCCACTCTAAGCATTTACTGCACCATTTAACGCACGCCCAACCCACGCTGCAGCACGTTCCCACGCGCATTTAACGCACGACTGGGTGCCGGCCGCGCATATGCATTTAGCGCACCATTTAATGCATGCCCAGCGCATGCTGCAGTATGTTACATGCACATTTAGTGTGCGGTTTGATGCATGCCCAGCCCCAGATGCAGCCCACTCTAAGCATTTACTGCACCATTTAACGCACGCCCAACCCACGCTGCAGCACGTTCCCACGCGCATTTAACGCACGACTGGGTGCCGGCCGCGCCCCAGGTGCAGCACGTTATACGCACAGTGAAGGCGCGCGCCG